GTGTATGTACGCCCCAGTTGGGCCGTGATGGGGTGTGGCGAGATGTGCAACTGTGCTTTTCGGCGACGCCGACGCGAGGGGTAGAGGTGCGCTGGGAACATGGGGTGTGTGAGATGTGTGGGTGCATTGGGATTTGGAGCCGTGGACCGGTTTCGCGGTTATCGGGTATTGCGCCTGTGTTCGTCCGGCTTGGTTTGGTGGTTATGGGGGAGTGAGACGGTTTGAGACAGGCGTTTATAGGTATCGAGTTAGGTGCATGCTCACAACACCTTTTCCACTTGCAGTGATTGCTGATTTCAGGTCTGTTTTTGCTTGATTGGAGTGATATATGCCGTCTATGCTGCCTGTGCGGTTGGCGCTTGTTGGGCTCGAATCTGGCGAAGGAGCTCGGGATACTGTTTCAGAAGTCAGCTTGTGTTGGTGCTCTCAGGACCAGAGTACCGGCAGCAATTTGTAGAGAAAGAAACCAACAATGACGCAAAAAAGGTGATCGTCGTGTGAAACTCATCCTGCAAAACACCAACACCCACTTCAGAAGGAACAGAGACCCATGAGAACGAAACCAAACGCTGACGTTACGCACGTTCCGCACGATCATCCTTCGGTTCTTCACACCACAACAACCACCAAACCGAAACTAAAGAAGTGAAGGGAAAGGAGGAATCAGACTCACCCATCTCTCCCCAACATCCGGATGACTCTTAACCCTATTCATCAACGTCGCCTCCCCCAAATGCCCCCACCTCCCCTTCACAAACGTAAACTCAACATCATCATGCCTCAACTTCCGAGCCTCATCCCTCAACCTCAGCACATTTTCCGGGACATCCATCCCCTCAAACTTAGCATCATAACTCACTCCCTGGAAAAACGGCACCGAATACCTAGGCCCCTCACCCTTCCTCGGACTAAGCACGCGATGCGTAGTCGACGCACACACGCCCTCCGTCAACGCCTCCATACCTTGTCCAATAGCTACAACAAGCGTACCGGGGATGGGTTTGCAATCGACCCATTCGCCGCGCGCGTTTTGCGCTTGGAGACCCAGTTGGTTGGAGGCTTGGAGGAGGTACGAGGTTAGCATACTGTCTTTATGGGGTCCTACGCCTTGACGTGCGATCTCCCATTTCTTGCGATCGGCTTCACTGGCGTCGGCTGGTAGGTCCGGGACGTCGATTTCGGGATACTTCACGATTTTGAGTTTGTGTTGTTGGTCTGCGTCGAAGAATTTGTTGAAGGCGTTGGGAGGGAGGCCGATGGCTTCGGCGATTAGGGAGGTGAAGAGCGTGGAGATGGAGGACATGCGGCGCATGTAGTCTTCGTATATTGGGCGAAACTTGGGGAGGTGGTTGGACGAGGGCCATTGGTTGGGTGCGAGAAGATTGTGGTAGAGAGGTGCTTCGGGCCCGGGTACCGGATGGGGGGTGGAGAGGTCGAGTTGTTCACGGTGGTCGGGGTTGAAGGCTGTGGTTTCGTTGTCGACCTGGTGAACTGTTAGTGATACGGCGATTTTGAGGTATGTCAAAGCCTTCTTCGCTCAACAAGATATCACCCCCCATCATGTTCAAACACTTGAACTTCATTCCAACCGTAACCCAAAAACAAACATCATCAAAAATCAAAGAGAAAATACCAACCCTACTCCAACCCAAAAAGCTCTTCTCATTCTTCATCTCAATCCTCTCCTTCTCCTCCAACGGCAACTTCTCAAAGAAATCCCTACACTCCCTAATCACATCCTCCACCAACGAATCCGGGATCCCCGTCTCCGACAGATACAAAAACCCCACATTCAGTAGCGCATGCCGAAGATCGGCCAGAAACTGCGGCTTCGTTTCGGGGTTCAACGCTTGAGAAAGAGGTAGAATGGGGAGAGTCTTGAAGGTTTCTGCTTGTGATTGCGCCATGCTGGAAAGCTGAAGTCCAGGATATTTAGGTGAGAGTTTAAAAGACAAGGTAGACTTGTATTATGCGGAGTTGGGTGTGTTGATATCGTAGTCCGGGGTCGTGAGATAGTTCCCGAGCTATGTATGGTGTGTTAGAGCGGGGCAATCGCGTCACACCTCGGAATAGCGAGTTCGGACTCGGCGCCCTGGCGTTGACTTGAAAGGGGTGCGCCCTCCAGTTGACATTTATACGAGAAGGTATTTCCCGTTGACTGCGATATCAGTCGTGAGACTGCCGGGGTATGGTTGCGACGTTCCAGTAGTAGTCCTGTAGCTAGTATCGGACCGCTATCACAGCAAGCGCAAGCGCGGTAAGCTTCAAGCCGCCGACGAGCACAAGAGCGCAGACTTCGAGGAGGAGCATTTGCAGTTTCGAAGATGAAGTTGTTAGGCGGAGAGTGGAATGCAGGCATATGCTGATGCGGCCAGGCAGAGGGCGTCGTTTGGTGAAAGAAGGGTGCCTGGACCTTAGAGGCGCGATAGGAAGCGTAGCTGAAAGGAAACTGCCTCAATATGACGTGGTAAAGCGGCTGCGGCCTTACAACATGATAGTCATGTATAAATGAAAGGTGGCCACATGGCACGAAGTAAACGCCACTCCCGACACCGCGGGACCAGTTTACAATATGCAGTTGAAGCGAATCATATCTTGTACCACGCGAACGCTGTACCACCGCGGAGGTTACAACGCCTTCATGCAGAACCCGCATCTAGGGTACTGCAGGGGAGTGTAGCTAATGCTTATATCGACGATGCAATAACAGCGGCACTGACGACATACTGGGCTTCGTAAGGACTGCAGGCCTATCTTTTTCATGTGAGAGGAGGGAAACACGATCTCTCAAAATCGGTGACTCTCGCTCGACGCCCCACAGTCAATGCGGGCGACCTGTATTCATAACTTGCAGAACCTAGGATTATTGAAGGGAAGAAAAGCAAATGCCCATACACGAACGTCCCCCCGTAGTCTGCATCCACCATCTCTTTCGCACCGCTGCTGGAAACCCCAATGCTCCATCCTCCTCGCTCATCTTTTCTCATCTTTTCTCAGGAGGATAATACGCGGGTTGTCCTTGAAGAGACTCGCCAACGCCCGACTGGTAGCTGGGAGGGGCAGCATTGCCGAAGCCAATCTGGCTGACGGGGCCAGCTGTCTGGTTCGGCGGTAGATCATTGGTGTTGGTGTTGACATTCTCTTTCTTGTCATCGAACGTGACATCGCCGCCGTCTCCACCGCCAACGACCACCTCCCCCCCTCCCTTGACGCTGCCTACCACCATGCCCTTGGCAACCGACTTGATGACCGCCCGCCTCGATACTCCTGTGACGTCGATGTATACGAGGCCGACATTCTTTACACCACCAGCAAGGTCGTTGGTGAGACTGCCGGCCTCCTTACCGTACTTGTGGCCTACAGCAGCGGTAGCTGCCGCACTTCCATGTGTCAACAGTGTCTTCCCAGAGTAGGCGATACCGTCTGCGACGGTGGAGAAGGCGATCATCGTCTTGTTGAGCAAGCCAGGCTTGTATTCCGTGTTGGGAGTCCCGTCTGGGTTGACGCCCTTGGATTGCTTCGCTTTCTTCCCAGCCATGTTTGCGCCGAAGTTCTGGGCCATCCTGCTGACTTGACCAACCGTTTTTCCAGTAAATCCAGCCATGCCGGTCGTAAATGTGTTAATCTTCCTGACCCGTTCGTGCGTTGTAGGCTTGAACTCCAGGGGTTTCTCGTTGGGCTTCGTCTTGGTAATGAAGTTATTTGCCCCGGATACCATCATGTTGCCAAGATAGCTGGAGCCGGTGACTATGAGACGCGATGCAGCAGCAGCGTTCTGCACAAGACCTGAATTTTGGTAGGCGGGATGACGCGCCAGGCGAAGGAAGTCTTCGTCCAATGGCTTCACATCGACCCGCTTGCCGTCCGGAGAGACTACAATCTCAACTGGATCTGGATCTGTGTCAGTATGGATATAAGCAGGCACGGAGCTTGAACTTACTCTTTGAACCAGGCTCGATGCCGGGATGCTCCACAATCTGAGCACCCTCGGTCAGTTCCCCGACCACACTGCCATTATCCTCGTTGACAAGAACGATCTCGCCGTGATTGCCGGTGCCCACATAACCCTCTCCTGGTGCGTAGTCGCGGGGGTTGTATGCCTTTGCTGAGCCTTTCTCGTTGGTCTTCGGTGCCTGCGCACGTTCTAGGAACGCTGTGCACTGTGCGAGTATCGTCTCGAACGTATCGATATCCTCCTGTGTGATCTTATCAGGCCCTGTGCCTAGCGGGGGAAACTCGATCCTGGTAAACGCTCCGTTGTCCGGACCGAGGTCCCATCTGGGGATGAGGTAGCTGCGCGGAGGCTGGTGGTAGATTTGCGTAGTGGCAGGCAGGGGAAGGTCGAGCTCAGGGGGCAGATTCAGGTGCAGGTAGAAGTCTTCCTCTGAAGATTCGTTGGCGCCACGTGAATAGCTGGCGTCGGCGAATGGCGAGTTGGTGGGAACCATAAGCAGAGAGAGTGTTTGCGGGCCAGAGGGCGTGAGCTCAGTCTCCTCGCCCTGCTGAATGTGGTACGCCTTGATTCCGGCGATCGAGTATAGGAGGCGGGGGTCGCTGTGGCCCGCCATCTTTCCGCTCTATGCAGGTGACGGTAAGGAGTGAGTAGGTAGGTAGGTAGGTAGGTAGAGGATGTGAGAAGGTTGTCTCTGAGTTTCTTCGCGGCGAGCTTGAGGAAAAGGGAATAGAGATGGTCAACGAGAAGTAGGCTGGATTCCAGTTACTATGCCACACAGCCAAGAGGATCTCCCTATTACGGGGTCCACTTTCGAGCAGGCAGTTGGTCGCGCGCTTAACCCTCTTACGTCAGTCGTCGCAATTTCACCCCGCTCCAGTGGCTGTGCAAGCCTTCTCAGCCACAGGACGCGCACGCCACTGTGATCGAGGATCTAGACCGCACGAAGGCTGCCAGCAAAAGAAATGAGCGGCCAGAAAATCGGACATGATGGTCCCTGCCACTCTGGTGGGAGAAAGGGAAAAAAAGACAAAAAGACAAAAAGAATTGTCGCTTCTGTGGATCGAACACAGTACCTCCAGATAGCTATTCGAGTTGAACCGAAGTTAACGCTTCACAGCGGATTCTTCAGTCTGGCGCTCTCCCAAGTGAGCTAAAGCGACTTTTGATTGATGAAAGTTGCTGGTGTTTTAAAATTTATATACTTAAAAATTTGTGGGAAGGTGCCACCCGACCCGAATCCCGGGAAGGTGCCTAGGTCTCAGATTCTAACAGATTAAGGAAAGTGGAGAGCCGATCCTACCCGTAGGGCACGTCGCTCCAGCTGACAAAGTTGTAGGCGTAAACATGGTAGGGTATATGAGGCTCTGCCGCCGGCTTTGGTCACTTCGAGACATCTCCACTCCCGCTCATGTGCTTTCCCATATTGTCGGGTTTCAACCGTAACTTCCCCTGCCTACTATTGACATCGTCCCAAGCACTGTACCGTTCTTGAGCCTGGAATGAGCAATCCAGGCATCCTTCAGGGATTCCCATGTAAGTTTCCGTCTCACAGAAGTTACAGTCTACGCGAGCGACGGGAACAGTCTGCCTGGCTGGGTTGGTGACGTAGCACCATAGTGCTGTTGCTTTGCACAGATGACTTGAGAGGGTTTCAAGCAGGGAAATAGAATCAGTAGGACTTCTGTGTCTACCGTTTGTGTTACTGTAAGCAAATGTGGTCACGAAGTGATGAAGATAGTATGAAGTTGTTGAATTGTGAGTTGTTCTGTTCTCTGGACTTGAGATGTGGAGCGGAAAGATATAGACAGAGCACTGATTAGTCATCTGTTCTCTGGACTTGAGATGTGGAGCGGAAAGATTGACATAGTAGTGTCCTTGGTTGGTTACAGTTACGCTTGACGTCTGCTTGCTTCGTGTGTGTAATTCTGCTGGCCACCATTCGTGCAGCCTGGACCAGCTTCAGGACTACGCATCAAGCATGTATGTAACCTAGCTACACTAGTGGGCGCATTTAGACTGCCCTGCCGCTGTATCAACTTGCACCTAGTGTTACCGTCGTTCTACCCTAGACGCCTTTCTGTTCTACTGTGCTGTCTGAAAGTAGTTCGGGTGGAAATGGTAAGCGAGAGGGTGGAGTTATGAGGCAGAAGCTAGAAAAATATTTGGACATATCATAGGATTATCTAAAGAGGCGTGTATATCAACACACTCTCATACATCACTTCCCTTCCCATCTCCCCTACACCATCCCCACCCTTTCCCAACCCCACTCTTCTCCCCTCTCCCCCTACTCCCCCATACACACACCCCCTTTCCCCGCATCCTCAAGCAAAACCCCCGCCCCCTTCGCTCCAACCATAAACGTACTCACCACGGGAAAAACCCCCGGAATCCTCGGAAAAACACTCGCATCCACGACCCTCAACCCCCTAACCCCCCTGACTCTAAACCTACTATCCAACACCGCTTCCTCATCCCCCTCCGGCCCAATCGCCGCCGTACTAGTCGGATGATGTCCAAACGTCTGTCCCAAAATCCACTCTTCATCCTCTTTCCCACACCCTCCCTGCAAATCCGGTGTGCGGGAACAAGGCGGTTCCACAGTCGTGATATCAACCCCATAATCTGCAGCGGCACGATGTACAGTCCTCCCCCACGCAACCGTCCATTTCAACGCCTCAAGATCCGTCTCGGCACCTTCAGCGTAGAACCGGAAATTAATGTCCGGGGTATCTCTCGGATCGCGGGTTTTCAACCTTACACTCCCTTTCCGGTTCTGCGGCCGGTTTTTCACAAGACTCATGCCGTATGTGCCTGGTGGATCTCTGCTCGCGCGCAGGGGATTGCTCTGCGTCGATGGGACGTAACCCCGGAAGGCACCGCCGGGGATGGCGAACATGAGGATGTCGCGGTCGCCGTCAGGGGAGAAGGGGGTTGTTAGCATTGCGATTGTTTGGGGGGAGGGGAAGGTCAGGTTGTGCGAGGTTATGTGGCCGACGATTGGGAATTCTTGGTTGTCTTGGAGATTTGAGCCGACGCCGGGGGAGTCGAACACGAGGGGGATGGAGAGGTTGTGGAGGTGGGTGGCGGGGCCGATGCCGGAGAGGAGGAGGAGTTGGGGCGTGTTGAAGGTGCCGCCGCTGAGGATGATTTCGTTTTTAGCGTGGATGAGGGAGGGGCGGGGGAGCGTGGTGTTGGTCGTGTTGTGGGAGCGTGGGTCGGCGCGGTAGAGGGAGCGGCCCGTGAGGTATTCGACGGCTGTGGCGCGTGGGAGGCCAGAGCAGGTTTTGTTGGGTGTGAAGTGGACTTTTGTGGCTAGCGTGTTGGTGAGAAGAGTTAAGGGGTAGCCGGCGGCGATGGTGGCGTTGATGTAGTCTCTCGAGGAGAAGCGGGAGAAGTCGGTTTTGGTGTGCTGGGGAAGTCCCCAGATGCCCTCTGTTGTATCGCGGGTTGGAGAGAGGAAGTTTGGATCTGCGTTCATATACCCGACTATATCGGAGGGAGCATCTGAGAGCGAAAAATTGGAGGCGATGGCTTGGGTAATGCCTAGGACGGGGTTGTCGACACTCGAGGGCCCGGCCATGTTGGTTTCGAAGAAGCCACTAAAACCGTGGCCGGTGGTATTCGGGGGGAGATAATGGTTTCTTTCGATTTGGGTGAAGACTTTTCGCATTTCTGGGGCGCTAAAGCTTGTTAGAAATGGGTACTGTCAGGGGCATGAAACATCGAGTACCTCCATGATGTATCTCCGGTGATGTTTGCTATGTAGTCCCAATCCGAGTCCGGCGGAAGCCAGGTCGCCATAGCGTTGATCATGCTGCTGCCTCCGACGGTGGCTCCGCGAGGGTAGTATGAACCGAGGATTTCGGAGCCGGCTGGCGGGGTAGCATTGCCTCCTGGCAGCCCTGCGAACATTAGAATCCGATCATCAAATCAAATGGACTCCCTCGAATGCTTACAAAACTCGCCAGTGGGCGTTCGCCAGACCAAGTTATTACTCATCCTGTTTTTCTCCTCTTCATCATAGTGTTTGACGAAGAAGTCCCAGGTGATGGTCTCTGGCTGCGGATTGGGGCCATCCGCATTGCTCAGGTCTCCTGCTTCTATAAGTAAGACGGAGTAATTTGCGCGTGCAAGATTGGCGGCTACAGTGCCGCCGCCGGGACCGCTACCGACGACAATGTAGTCATACTGGTCCACAATAGAGGCAGCGACAGCGAGAAGGGAGGTCGTAACAAGCAACGAGAGAAGCCTAGTGAGGACACCCATGTTGAGAGAGGAACGGGAAACTAGGAGAAGCAGGTGCCCGCTGTGTTCTCACACTGGCTTGTCCTTGGAGGGGTCGACTTTATGAATGCCACTCAAGAACCAGTTGCACACCCCTCGGAACCAGGATCTGCCGATTCTATCATTTGTCTTCCTCTCCGTGGCCTGGATTATGCGGAATATGTTAGTCAAGGTCATTGCTAGCGAAGTGGCGGCTCTGATCGCTTGACGCAGTTCGCGTCGTCGGATTGAGTACTCAGCGTCCAATAATCTGTCAAGCAACATGGAGGGCCTTGGTGGCTTCGGCATTCGTACTGCCAGGTTGTATAGGAGACGCGTGGGTCTTGCATTGTGCCAATGATGTATGAGACCGATGGCGGGCCGTCCCAGAGATGCTGCAGGTGGAGAGTGATAAGTGTATGCAGCTGACAGGGGGCCAGAGACTCAATAGGGCTGGACCAGAGGAACTTTATTCCTGACGCGGGTTTGGAGGTGATTGATTATTGCCAGAAAGTAAAAGAGCCGTCTATAAAAAGTTATCATTGGCCGATTCGAGACGCTTGGATAAATCAGTGAGGGGTACCTCGCAGCCAGCCTCTCAACATTGTGATCATTACTTTTTTTTGGGAGCTAGCCCAGCACTCTTGAGTTGATTGCGCGGCGACAGCATAGCAAGAACCTGCATGAGACGCCACCCTATGCTTGCGTGCATCGTTGGCAAGGATGGTGAAGGGTTCTGACAGTGTTGCACGGCTCCACGTACCCACGAATATTTCGTGCCCGTGGCCCAGGGCTGAAGAATAACTCCTGCATTGAATCAATGTAGACCAGTGTAGAGTTTACCTTTGCTCTACCTATGTGTGGAGGCTTTGCATAACCTCCTGATCTCCGCGTCCAACAATACGCGGCCGAGCATCGTGCTTCGTTCGCGCTTTGAATAATAACATCCACCCATGTGCCACAATTAAACAATAACGAGACCTTGTACCAGACTCCGTGTAACCCCATCCTAACCTGTATTTCTACTCTCCTTTTTGGGTAAGAAAGGCTCCGCCGCTGGATCCAACGCACCGGCTCTTGCTTTTGCATCCAATCCACTCGGTCCCTGGGCATTCAACCTGTCTTTTGGATCGACTTCGCTGGTGTTTCTCTTCCTCGTTCTAGGCGCCTAAGCCTGGCCGAGGGGCGCCCCCAGATTCATCTTGGGCTTCTTGAGGATGACGCCATCAGGAGCCTCTGGCGGTTCCAGCACGAGGGACTGACCCTGCGAACGTATCGATTCTCCCGAACTCTCACTACGAGTCCGTTCTGCAGAACGGCTCTTCTCCGCCTCCTCTTCCTTCCGTTGTGCCTTTGCAATCTTCTCCAACTCGCGGTCCAACATGCGTAGCTCTATTCGGTCGGAAGCGCCGTCGCTGGGCAGGGTGGGTAGCATCAGGGCGCTTGAAAGACCTGGGTCTGAGTCGGGGGAGTCGTCGCGGCTGGACTCCTGGTTGCGTGTTGGCGAGAGCGAGACTTCGGGAACGAGCGGAGTGTGGCCGGCGTGGAGCGTGTTGGCTTCCGGCAGCGGAGAGTCAACTGCCAGCGTTGGCGGAGGCGAAGCAGGCCTCTCGTCGCCGCCTGGCCTTTGCAGGCCGAAGCCACGTCGTAATTGCTGGGCGGGGTTGTCATGGGCAGGGCGAATGGGCTGGTGGGGTGGCATGGTCAGCTTGGGCAAAGCCGTGTCCTCTGGAGGCGTGGCATCTACAGCTTGCCCCGTAAGCACCTTGGGAACAGGTGCGGGATGTTTGGCCAGGCCCGCGATGTCTGTTTGCACCTCCCGGTCGACGTAGTGGTGCGACGACGTCATGACGCCAAGCTTCTTTGTCGATTCAGGCACGGGCGACGAGACTGG